GAGAGACGGAGCCCAATAACGTGTTGTATATCTTAGAACAAGCTATTCATTTTGATGAGAAACATTTAGAAATTAAATCTTGGGAGTTTATAGACTGGAACACTAACGACATTGTGGTATTGGAATGTTTCAATTTGATTAGCCATAAATCATTAGCTTGTTTGCTCAAGCGGGACAGCTTGGCTATTAAAGAAGTTGAACTTTTTAAAGCTGTTTTAAAATGGATCGACTACCAATGTTCACAGAAAGGTTTAGATACAACAAGGGAGAACAGGAGATTCGTTATTGGCGATGCGATATACGATCTAAGATTTCTTGCTATGCGTGAGGACGGATTCGCAAAATATGTTGCTACATCTGGACTGCTTACGGCTGAAGAAATCGTTTCAATTTATAATAAATTAAATAATATTGAATCACCTGATCTAAAGTGGAAGCTATCAAGAAGCCGTATTAACAATGAAAAATCAAGAGCTATAATTAGAGAATGTAAGTCTCGAATCAGTCGAATGAAACGCTTGAGACGGCAACAGGAGTCTCTGTTAGCGCAATTGCAATAGCGAAAATAGCGAGGCATTTGAACTACAGTTAGCAATAGTAGAAATAGCAAAACTATATTTTTTATACGATCTCCCAATTTAAAAGTACAAATCAGCATTGAGATTATGAGGACAAGAACCACATTTACATTGGACGGCTCAATCAATTCTAAACTATTCTTCCTGGAAATTCTGAAGTTCAATAAGGCCATACCTAGCTTTATACGCAATATTGCTCTAGTGAGTAGTGAGTAGTGTTATTACAGGAGGAAACATAAACCACACATAATTTATTAATACTGGATAGTCTACATGAGTTCTAAACTGTTCTCCCTGGCGATCTGAGGAGACCTGTATGCAAACTTGACTCATTTTATTTATTTATACAGTTCGTATATTGGATAGCTCCATGACCATGTAGTACAAATTCTAAACTGTTCTCACTAGAGGTCCAGTATTGAGGGTCATTATTATTGTCACATGATATTACCAGACGAAAACCTATCTTATTTACACTGGATAGTTCTATCAGTTTTGATGTCTAATTTTTGATGTTTAAACTGAAGAACTAAAAGAACCCAGTTTAATAGTTACCGAACACGGCAGCAGAGTTTGGTTGTGACTAAAAGCTCACATGAAGGCGAAATTCTAATCATGTTCCACAATCGGAAATTACCGATTACAAATTCATGCAACAATCTGGCCGATACTGATGTACCAATATCGATTTTAAAACATGAGCAGCAGTGTTTTATCAGATATAAAGATTCGAGGCGAAGCCGAGTATCACTTTACGACTTTAGGTCTGATAAAACACGCACTGCGAATGTTTTAAATTGCTCAAAAACGCAGCAATTATCTAATCTTGAGTAAGAAATTAGTCACGTGCATACGTCTTTATACCAGCTAAAGAACACTTTAACAAAAGACCATTGTTATGCAAACTATATAAAGATTTTTATATAAAAATTTTTATATAAAGATTTGACTTATTATGCA